GTTGTAAAGGGTTAGGGCTCTTAAGTTGCTGCCATACTGTATATGGGGGGGGGGAGTAACACATAGTTGATTATCAACTAAAAGCTGGTTATGGTAGAAAAACTAAACCTTTGGTCTGATGAAGGGGTAATGCTGAAAACATCAGCCTTCCAAATACTCCACAGTGCTTAGTTCATGGTCATGCATGGTTTTACGCTAATAACCATAGGACTGGTGTAGAACATTTCATGGGACTCTAATAAGTTTGTGTTGGTTTTTTTAGCAGGCAATACCAATGCTTTCAATTCATTTGGTAATTTGACAATGGTTAAAAATGTTGTTTCAAAATCTTTATGAAAGATTGGCTCCTCTATTAACATATATTTTTTGTGGGGTGATAGGTAAACCTCAGCATTACAAAGGATCAAACCACTTTTGATTAATTTATGCCAAGCATGACAGAGAATTTAAAAGGAAATTTTGAAAAAAAATTTAAAATAATGAATCAATACACTTAACTGTAATAAGAGGTTAAACTAACTGGCCAAGATGTGCGTGCCAGTATTGGAGTAGTTCACCATTTAGAAATGAGCTAACATGCATTGCAGCCTCTTCAATTTCTTTTATAAGCTATGCAAGAGAAACATGAACTGAGTGGGAGCTGCGGAAAGGCATGGGGTGATCTTATACCCTGATCCTACCATGTAACTATAACTGAAATGTAGGACAATGGCTTGGTCATGGAAGGTTTGGGTACAAGAGTAAGTATAGAGCTCAAGGGAGCAAAGCACATTGAGAGCAGAGGAAATAGAAAATACTGCTCTGCAGGATATTGATTAATAAATTAATTCCATTGCTGTAATAGGTAAATAAATACAATTGTTCCTATACTTTTGGCTAGTTCCCTAAGATCAAATGTGCATGGTCTAGCACTGGTTAAAAAGAGTTATAACAGGATTGAAATATTAAGTGTCTGAACAGATTCAGAGAAATAAACTTTTTCCAGGCACAAGTTGTTGATCTGTGTGGGCCATTCAGTCCTCTTGAAAGGTTTTTTATGATGGTTGCATGAAGTGACCTGGAGTATACTGTTACCTCCTCTGGATAAGATGTCAGTCAAACAAAAAAAGTTTTATTACAAGGCCATCTCTACAAAAGTTTTGTATATTATGTTACAATTTGGTCACTGTTCATTTTGATTAACACTCAAAGAGAACAACTTCTGATTATTTGCAATTTTTCTCTACCCTTGCTTAAGTTGCTAAAGCACACAATTATATTACATAAAAACATTGCTGTTGCACAGCAAAAAAAATTTGAAGAAGTAACAATTTCTTGGCAAACCACAAAGAAAACAGCCAAATGTTCAACTAACATGGCTACAGATTTACAAGGATTGCATGTGCAAGCATTGCTCATGAAAGAGCAGATCAAGGGGCAGAAGGGGTCTTGAATGAACAACTTCTTGCTTGCACATTTTAGTTGTTATCACTTGCCATTCTTTTCTCAAGTGCTTGCTACAAAGGCTAGCTAACAAAAGCTACATTTTTCAAACTGTTACACCTTCTCCAACTTAAATTGTTCACTATAATCAAGAACATATCTGTATATATTATTGTGCTTTTACATGTTGTGAATTGTCCTAGACATGCATGATATTAACCCTTTAAAACCTAATAGTGACCAGCATTTCACTTCTCCTTACAGTAACACTGCTGAATCATTCACTAAGATCATGAGAGTAAAAGAAATGTTTGCCAACATACAAAGCTTTGACTGTCAAATGAATTCTCCTTGTCAAAACCAAAAGAAACATAGGGAAGAGTTTGGAGAATATGGATAATGATGTTAGGGTGTAAAGGGTTAACAAAAAGGACTATGGTAGGCTATGTGAAACCCACAAAAAAATCTTAAAAAATAATTTTTATGAAAGAATATTAATAATATTTGATCAAAATGTTTAATAATTATTTTATTTCTGAAATCCATGTCATGCTTCAAATTTCTTGTTGATTCCAAAGTTTTCAAACAAAACAAGAACAAAATAAAAGAAAGCTTTAACCAGTTATATTAAAAACATATGTAATTACAAAAATTATCTATAATATTTCAGTATAAAAATTTCCACACCCACCCTACAGGGGGACAACGAAAGGGGCTGGCATAAAAGCCAAAAAGTACATAATTATGAAATTTCCTAAGGGAATAGATACTTGGATAATATGATACTGTCAGCCAAATAGCAATGGATACTCTCAGAAATAACAATATTCAATAACAGCAATTCAATTACAGCATTGTGTTTTCATTTGGATAGCTATCAAGTTTCCCTTAGTAGTCATGAGCTCATTTTTGGAGGCTCCTCCACAAAAACCTTGTAAAGGGTTCAAGTGAAATTATGTTCTAAAAAGTTTACTTTTGGATATTTGCTAACATTGAAGCTTTCCACAAAGTTTTTGTTGTTGTTTAAATAAATGTATTGAAGAAAGCTGTTTTCCTCAAACTGATAACAATTTCCAGGGAAAACTTGTTCACTAGTGAAAATGTGGGTTTAGAGAAAAAAATTCTTAAGACAAGTTAAAACAAGGCAGAAGGTCTCTCCTGCAGCCAACTCTTGAGTGACTATGCTTGTCCTTGAGAAAAAGTTTCAAAGGTCAACTCATGTTTTCCTAGGCTTCTTGGTGTGGATGAATCCTAGTATTAATTACCTCTAAAGCTAGCATGACGGTTATTTTGTGTGTTTTTATGGCAACCCAAAATAGGCAAAGCAATGATACATGACATGTCCATACTTAACGTCCTGAAAGTTGCGATGTACATTGACAGTTGGCTTCATCGAGCCTCTGTCTTCCAATGCATTTAGGTTCATTACGGCATACACATTTGCACTCTTCAATGCTCCATTTATGAAGGGGATTAGAACACTCCTGCTCAGCCTTGTTGCAGACACAACCACACTTTTCTTTGACATACTAAACATTAGAAGATTGCAGTAATTAATGCTGAAGTTCTAAACAATCATTATTCATTCCCACATCATTGGACTTCAACATTTTTTTTAAAGAGGTGGCCTTTTCTTAGTCTTAAAGTTCTATTTATATAATAAATATGCCCATCAGACCAACTAAACCACAATGAACTGTAGACGATTTCTGGAAATCAGAAACAAATAACAGTTATGTAAACACACAACTGCTCCTCAGGTTTGCATAACTCTTTCTCATAAACTTCTCCAAGTGTTTATAAGATTAGGATGAGCTTATTTCTCAGAAAGCATGACTCCAAATTGTGTTTAATAATCTCATCTAAACATATCCATCAACAAATTATAGCATACAAAAATTTGTGACTCTGACAATGACTTTACCTTATAGGGTTTCTGACAAGCCACCTCTGATTCCTGGTATGCAGGCTTGCAATCACAACTGCATGTGTTGCTATTCCACACTTGTTTCTTTTTATCGCAAGAATCAGCCGTCTTGATACACTCACAGCCACATTTAACATGCTCTTCCATCATTGTAGTAACAAGGGTGTAAGTGATATCTAAAGGAGAAGATAGCTTGCTTAATAGAAACTTGATAATAGCCAAACTACTTGAAACAAAACATTCTGAATTTCCTCTCTGGAGACAAAAATTTCTTTAAAAAAATTATTATTTATGAAACAAACTGCAGTTTATTAGATGAGAAATTAAAAAAGAGTGTTAAGGGTTAATAATGCAAATGGTTCAATGCATGGGTTGCAAATGACAAAGCAATGCTCATTGCCGAGTTGATTAGCAGTTTCTTTTTTGGAGATGTAAGTTTTATTTTGTTTCTGCATGGAAGGAAATTCAGAAAGAATGTATACTCAGGTATTTATTCAGAGAATGGTGAGCAAACTATTGAAAAAAGGTTCCAAACCATGTTATCCACTAAAACTAACCGTAAAGAGGAAAAATTCATTGACTTAAAATGAAATGACAAAAATGACAGATCGCATTTACCCCAAGCTTTTAATTTATTCTCATTGGTTGCCCACTCCAGTATCTACAGTATCATAGTTAATGGTCAGACCAAATATTTTGTGGGTTTAAATTTAGACAGATTGCACATAATTTCAAAAATCAGTTCCATCAGAAAAAATTCTGCAAATCCATATAACTCTGGAAAAAGCTTCCTCTCTTAGTCAGAAAAGAGCCTTGCCTATCAGCTCCCAGCAAAGACTTTGGTCATCTCAGATACCAAAAAAATTTTCCCAGCCAAAATCAAAAAGATAACTAATCCACAAAATATTGTGAAATATTCATGCCACACAACATAGGTATTTTTTGGTACAAATTGTGGTTGTCTAACTCCTTTTTGGAGTCAGACCACATTGGACACACAAAGTTACATACCCTGAGGCTTTCCAGATGGCATAAAGATATTGAAATGTTGCACTGGTGTCATTTTTTTTTCGAGAGGCTTGCAGGTCAAAAGATTCCTTGCGAAGCAGCAACCAGTACAACGATTTAGCAATACACAAGGAGGAAATATTTGTAAACCAAAATGTGGAGCAGGAAGGCTGACTAAGGTGGGGCGAACTTCACAATTCCACACTGATCCATCAGTATTAACTGTTACCAAAAAGAAAAGATATAAATATTAATAAGTAATCAATGAATTTGAGCACTTAAATCTTGAATGTGACCTCTAAGTGTTTGTCCATCTTGTGTTTTGCCAGTATCTCTCTCTGTATACCTATGGAGCCACAATTTTTTCTCCCAAAGTTTCACCAATTTCCTCACTTGCTAAGATGACAAAATCATCATGGTAGCTAAATGGCAATATCAAACAAATTTATAGAATTAATTTTAATCTTACATATATGCAGTTTCAGCTTTTTTAAGGGCAGTAAATCCTTGTAAAACACTGCACTTTACAGAATAAGAAATTTTTCCAAACTGAGGCAATTTCCTCTAACTTAATGTCAGAGGCTGAAATAATTAGGCACTCCTGCATCCTAAGATTGCCTGTTGATAATCTTGGGATTTAGCGCTCTTGAAATGACTGTTTTAAAACTTTCTTTTATAGAAGAATCCTGTCATTATCTGAATATATTTACAATATTTTACATCCACTTGTGGTGGCTTAGTATAGAGAAGATTACGAAGAATATGAATACTGATATTAGCATGTAGAGGATTGATACAGGCATTGGATACATAGCAGTAGAATCCAGGATTTAGCTCCCGGTAAGGGTAAATGGGATCATGCCATCAAGAGTTTGGGAAAAGCTTCAATCAGCTATAATTGGCAACAAAACTTTTGACACATTGCCACCTCCAATCCTCTTAAATGATATTTTTATCCCTTTTCCCTTCCTAGCATATCGTTTTTTTTATAAGAAATTTATGTCTATGCCTAATCAGTGGAGGTGAATAATTGCTTTAATACATATTGCACAAATAACAAAAAATATTAGTTTATTTCTTTCAAATACCAACAAATGGTTGGAAATTAAACTCTGGATGCCCAGTTTTATCTCATTGGCTGCTCAGAAGTGAATAATACTTGCTATTCATTTCCAAACTAGCCAATGAGTGCAAAAAGCACTATTCACTTGTGTGGTATATACTAATTGTTTCAACTGGTATTTATTAATACACTTACAGTGAGATAATGTAGCAAAAAAAGATGATTTTAACTCATTTGATTATAATATTTTTGAGAGCAAATCCTACCCAAGCTGCTTGGAAGTCAATATCATAGGATATTTTAAGTTTGAGTAGCCAATAAGAGCATGCCTTCAACACTGTCCACTGTTTTAGTATATACTAATTAAATTTGTCATCATGATGTCAAGTTGATGATACATTTTATCCTTCACTTATTTGGTCTGGTTTCTTATTGATGAAAGTCATTGTCACCATTAAAGGAGAAAATTGGTCTCCATTTGCCACCATGTAATATCCTCTCTTTACAATTGTCACTTATTCCATACTGAATGATGCATGAAGTCATGCACAGAAGTTAAATGTTATTTACTTGGAATTGAAAGAGTAATAGGTGAATCTAACCTGCAGTTGAATGTTTGCCAGGAAGTCTACCATCAGGAAGGGATCCTATGAACCAATAAATTCAAAATCAATAAGTGTCCTTCAACATACACCATACATATATTTTACTTTTATTACAATCTAAACTACAGCACATACCATATCACATGTTATAGGGCTAGCCTACCAACAGTCACTGGACTTTGCATCTTGTCATCATTATAAACCAGGGCCCTGTTGTGTAAAGGGTGGATAACACTATCCAACAGATAAATCGCTATCCAATAGATAAGTAATAGCAAAATGTATAGCGTTATCCATCAGAGAGAGATTTATCCAGAGGATAGCATTATCCAATCTTCGAACAACTGGGGCCAGTGCTACAGAAATTGGTTTCTAATTCACTTCAAATCTAAAAAAATTCACATTTAAGGGCTTTCCAAGAGGAAACCTGTCCCTCTTTTTCTTACTGAAGTTATTGCCCTCTGGGTAAAGTAATTTACAAGGTTAAAAATGAAGTTAAAATTATGATTCATGTTAATTGACACAAGTCACAGATTTCCATTTAGCAGCTGCAAAGTTATCAGCTGGCTCATCCTCCAGCTACATGTATACCAAAGGCACTTGGTCTGTAATTGCATTTTCCTTTGGCTAAAACTCTGTTTGCACACCCTGACAAGCATTGTAATTTATTATTTTCATTTACCGTTGCGTGGGATCTTCTTGAAGTAATCATAAAATGCCTTTGTTGAGTTGATTTTTCTCAATTCTGGAATGTTATAAACTGAGTTGATACCAACAGGTAAGACTTCAGCCTAAAAAAAAAGGGAAACTGCTGTCAAAAGCAATTTGACATCAATAGTGTATCACTTAGAAAATCCAGTACCAACTGTTTTCATTGTGAATCCCTTTGACGCCTAAGAGTGACCAACATCTGATTTCTCCTTACAATAATACTGCTGAATTTTTCATTTATATCATGAGAATAAAGGAAATGATTGTCAACCCAAAAAGCTTTGATTGTTACATGTATTCTCCTTGTAAACACCAAAGGATATGTATAGAGAAGATTATGGAGAAAATGGATACTGATGTATTTATTTAAATATATTTAATCCCCATAAACTTTATTTCTCTCCCTTTTGCCTTGCTAGCTTCTCATTTTCTTCCCTTACCAATTGCTTGTAAGGAATTTTTCACATATCATGTACCATTCTTTCCTACCTTCCAACCCATCAGATCATTGTAAATCAAGGCATTGTTTGATTTTCAAAGCTTCAACAGGGGGAAGGGGGGAGGGGAAAGGGAACATGCACTGACCACATTGCATGTATGTGAAAAAGAGCCTCAACTAATTTGGAGACTAATTCAATCTCCTGCCCTTGGACCTTCAAGGTCGAATTTCATGAAAAAAGATGATGTTACAAAACACAAAATGGTACATTCGTTTCTTGGGGTGGTTTACTTGAGAAAAACATCCTTTTTGCCGAGATAACCTGCTGGCAATGACGAAGGCTGACAAGTTTCGCTTTCGAAGATTGCATTTCGTCATCGATCGACTTACCGCTGAAATATGCCACAAAAACGTCACACATTCCAATGAAAGAGTCAAATGTGATGAAAGAAGCTCTATCAAAATCTTGGCACAACAGAGTAAAGTGAATGCATCCGATTCCTAGATTTGATGACCCCTCTTTCATAAAAGTCCACTCTTTGGGCTCGAAGACTTATCAGTGTCATCTCAATCTGTCATCACCTTTGCACACGCAATTAAACTCGCCAAAGCGCAAGATGAAACTCGCCAATTTCGCTATAAACCGGGTTGATAAACATCAGTTCACGCAGTACTATTTTGACTTAACTGCAGTTGTTATAAATGTGCAAGATACACTTTATATGTATTCAAAGGGCTAACCTGTGTAGTCGGAATGATTGTAGGGGTAAACTTCGTCGTTGGGGCGGGCTTCGGTCTTCTTCTGATGCGGCTCCGAAATCGATCTTTAAGGCTTCGTCTCCCTTCACAGAAAATCACAGCCACCAAAAGCACCCAGATCAGTGTGGTTTTCATGATACTTCTACTTAGTAATTGCTCTTCTTGTAAAATGCTGCTCACTGCTTGAACGCACTACGATGTTGATCGAAAATGGGACAGGTCACTATTTATATGTTTTGAAGCTGGCGGGGTTGAATTACCGGAAATACGTCACGTGAACGTGAGGCTTTCCCAGCAGGCGCTTCCAGATAAGTTGGCGAACGCAGTGACATTACGTGCTCATGACCTACAGTGCTCGGATTCTAGTGAAGATTGATTTCGTAATCAATGGCAAATTAATTTGGCAAACAACAGTTACCCTCGGGACTGGTGAACCTTCATAGGTCCCTCTAGAAATAACCGGAAGGTTACGCATTTGTGAAAGAATGTTCTCGACATCCTACGGAAAAGATCGCCCTCTTACTGTCCTTACTGACATGTGGTTTTAGTGATACCTAAAAGAAAGAGGAAATCGTAATGCTTTTACAGGGCGAAAAAAAATGGCACATTCAATTGAGTCGGCCTTTAAATTTATTACCCATTAAAACTAGTGACAAAGAGCTATTTATGTCTTTCTTTTTTCGCCTGCCGGAAAAATAGAGAAAAAAACGGATAACATGATGAGCACAGCTTTTTAAAAGAATTGTACTTTTAGGTTTAAAGAGTCTTTACCACAGAATGTTTGCGGTAAAGTTAGGTGTTTCCATGAAAATCATGGTGATATAACAGTCACTTCCGCCCGTTCAGAAGACCACTCGCAGTTGCTGCGGCAACGACGAGGAAAATAGCGCGTAAAACATGAACACACATAGTGCGGGATTTATTCTTCCTACCCCTTTCTAATTAGAGAAATACCCTACAGACTACATCTAACCCTCCCCCCCCCCCCGCCCCACCCATGTATTCCTTGCAAAACGGGCTCAGTCAACCAAACTCAAATTTTCCCTGCTAACCTCTGGGATAGGCCTGGCCCGATTGTGCTCGTAAAATGCTGGAAAGTTGCGCACCGAAATGCCAAAAAGTTACTAGAAATTGCCAAAAATCCATAAAGTTGCTAGCTAAATTTCTTGATATTTTTAAATAAATGTAAATGAAAAGCTTAATTTTTTGTGGCTCACAATAATTGCTGACATCGGTCAAGAAACTGATTGCTTCAAACTTAGCTTTGAAGAGTTGGTCGCAAGTATGGGTAAATTTGATTTTCGTAAGTCTATCAGAACAACATACATGGTTCATTTGACGTCTTGCTGAACGTCATTTTAGCTGATTATCTGTAACATTACTAGATAAGGATCACATTCGACCAGCGAAACGTCGAAAACCAGCTTATGTGTTTTAAAAAAGGTTGATAGAAATTTAAGAAATTCGCATAAATTGTAGTTTCTTTTATGAAATTATTAACTTTTTCGTGTTTGATAGGAGCTCTAAACCGATATGTTGCTCATAAATAGCTCCGAATGGCTAAAGCTGCTCGAGCTTGCTAGAATTGCAAAAAGTTGCTCCAAACGACGAAGGTTGCTCGGCTCGGGACAGACATACTCTTGGATACGTAACTCTTCATCAGGCTCCCCCCAGCATCACCCTGTTCGTACGGTGGCCCTTTAGTGCCACATTATTTATACGGAAGAGGCCTAATTCTACGAAGAAAGCGTTATTTTATGATGTATAGCAGTTATATTTACCCAGATCGAGTCTCGGTCAGTTGTACCAATTCTCCGCGGTCCGAAATATTTCATCGGTCCCAGGCCAACTCACAGCTTCGTCAAAATGGCGTCTGGAACAGTAGATCGTGAAATGGAACAGTTTATCCTGGCCGAGAAGGAGAAAGTCAGATTTCAGAGTCTTGTTCGCTCTTTAACTGATGAATGTTGGGAAAAGTGTGTGGAAAAGGTTGGATCGAAGCTCGATTCCAAGACCGAGACTTGCCTCGTTAACTGCGTGGAGAGATTTCTGGACACCTCAAATTTTGTAGCTAACCGCCTTAGCCAGATGGGCGAAAGTTAAATGACGATAAACTTTCTTAAAATTTTTTTTATGAGAATATGATACTGTCAAGGAGGGCTAACGCGCTTCGTTTTGGAAAGTCTATGTTGCGATATGAAATTACGTTTTGTACTGGCCTTTTGTTCAACGTGAAGCAAAATGTTAATGTTCACAATATTCAAGCTGGATTGGATGAAACTACTGTATGTCTAACAGTTTCAATACCCACCATGAATCAGGGCACTTTGTTATAGGAGCAAAATGATGTAGATAATAGGCCTTAGAATATATTTTCCGATGGATTTTGAAAAGATGTCCAAGTTCTCAACTGCTAGCTCGCACATGGTAATCAGAAAGAAGTATGGTCACGACAAGGGCTCAGGGCTTCTTCGAACTCCTTCTGGCTTGGTCACCTGGGCTGGCCTCTTTTTGCCTGAGCGTAGCTCGCAGTCGATGGAATCGAGTGAAAGGAGAGGCAAGGCGAGAGTTCTTCCTTTCTTTTCTGCTGGCCCTCCTCATTTTTCCTCCTATTGGACTCGGAGACGGCAAGATTTCTGTGTTACTTCATACCTCATTATGCATACATTACTTGGATGAAAGAAAACAGTTGCAAAATGACAGATTACTTATGGTACTAGGGATTTGTTTTAGAGTAGTATGGGCTTAAATGGAATTCTTTTCCCAGAAACTGAGTGTTTTGGTTATTGACATTTAATTTATTAATATTTCATTTTATAATTGACTGTATGATTGATATATCAATGGCATAATTGCTAAGTAAGTTGATCTTCAGTGGAAAGGAATGCCATGTTCTCTTCTAAGTGTTCTAATACTAGTGTTTTTCTGCTGGTCCTACTCACCTGTACTGCTGACCTGTTACATCTATAGAATAGTTTTGATTGGATAGCACCACAAAAGTAAATAATTTGGTTTGTGACCAGTTGAATTTTAAGAATTGTGATTTCACTTTTCCTGCATGCAATTTCAAGAATTGCTTGCTATTAGATTTCTAATGAATTATGTATTGTTTCTCATGAATCAAATAAATTAAGGATTATATGATTCCCTGTCCAGTCGGTACTTCTGAGAACCATTTTTTCCTTGGACCAGTGAGTGCTTGAAATGTGCTAGGCCCCCTGGCTAGTTAATCTTTTCTCTAAACAATTTTGACCTGTTTACATGAGAAGCTGAATGAACCTGGTTATCAGTAAATAGATAGGTATTTTTCATTATGAACATTTAACTTGATCACCATGATGAAACTTGAGAGACAGTGCCCAGTTCATTGTAACATCAATGTTAAATTACCCAGAGAAGGATAAATAGTCTGATTTCTCAACCATATAAAGGAGACGAAATCGTCATTTATGAATAGTAGAAAAAACATGTTCTATTTGCATCTCACATTGATGCCTCATCAAGCAGATGAGGAAAAAAAAGAAGAGGTGACAAATGGGTGTGTCAAACTTTCTCTCCAATTTGGAAATCAAGGCAGCATTTGAAGTAAGCTTTGGAGTCTTGTTTCAAAATTATTTTCTGTCAGTCCTAATGGTGTCACATTTCTGTCAATGTTCTCTTTGGGAATTGATCTTATAACCAAGGGTCTTACCCAATTGGTAACTGGAGTAGTTTGGATTTTTTTGTTGTGAGTGAAAAAAGATTGTGAATTATCACTGTCCTTTGAAAATAGTGTGATTTATCTGATAATCCACAGAAACAAATATGAAAGAGAGTATTGTAACACTATCACAGCATTTTTTTGTCATTACGTGATATTATCTTGCATTGATTTGAGTGAGTGAGTCTTAGTCTTGTATTTCTACCATGGGTTTTAGCATCTCACAAGTCTTGCATTTGGCCATTTGCCACTGGAAAATGAGAATAAATAACTAACCATGGACACTGATTTGGCATTCTTTAAAAAGTGATGTAACTCTTGGTCATTTTGAGCAGATTTAAAATTATAGACCAGTTAGCAGACCAATTATAGGCCTGGGTTAAAACATGTGAAATATTAACCCTATTTACATCCTATGTGTGAGACAATCAAAACAGGTGAAACTTGCCACTATTTGCATACGGTGACAGAGAATTAAAGTGATGACTGTTGAATACTTCTTACATAACCAGTTATAGCTTTTGTGTAGGATGATCTGTCAGGGTCGGCCAGGGTTTTTGTGTATTTGGTATTCAGGGGCGTTTTAAATCGGGTATACGGTATATTGCAGCTTAAATATGGGTATTCAGTATATCACTTTCTTTGAATTTCAGGTATAAAGTATTCAAAGTTTTGATTATTTTTGGGTATATTTGGAGGAATTTGGGGTATTTTGGGGTATTTTGTCGATTTTTTTTCGGGTATATTGGTATTCCACTACCCCCCCTGGCCGACCCTGACCTATTGGGAAGGAATTTTGCCTACAAGAAATTTAAAAGTTTCTCAATAACTGTCTGAAATTTGCCTTGCTCCCAGTGTGTGGTTTGGTAGTTCTTGGTATATATATATATATATAAGTGAAAGAATCAAAGAGGATGCATCGATTCTCTGTTACTCTGAGTTTTGCGCCTAAGCACTTGTCAGACAGAACCTGACGAGTAACAGAGAATCAATACGTCCTCTTTGATTCTTTCACTTATATATACTCAGCTCTGCTACCACAGCATTGAGCACTTTATGCCAAGGTAGACTCTACCCCCACATTTATTTATATATATATGTGTGTGTGTGTGTGTGTGTGTGTTGTCCTTAAGTGGACTTCATATTAAAATGATCTCAAGTTAGTTTAAATTGTACCTTAATTAGTTTGTTCAAGAACTTTGATGATCTATTGAGAACAGAGAAAAAAAATCAAAATTCTTTTAAATCATCTTGACCTGAAATTAATTTGACAATAAAACATATATGTTAACCCTTTCCCCCCCTCAGAGTGACTAGCATCCAACTTCTCCTCACAATATCACCTTGATTTAAACACCAGGGTCACAAGAATGAAGGAAATGATTGTCATTTGATATGAAAAATATTCATGGACAGGGTATTGATTGTGTCCCAGACTTCATCAACTCATGAAATCCCTGCATGATTACAGTTGACCTTTAGAAAAGAGAATCCCCACATAGTACCATGTATTTGTTATCTACCCTTGGATAACAATTAAATCTGAAATTCAAACATGGAGTGCAATCATTGGTATCTTATTTTGTTGTTTTATTAATCTCATCCATACCAACTCCCTTACTCACACCCAGTCACATGAGGAAACAAGAACATTCAAAACACTTTTAAAATATTAGTAAGAGGCCAATTTAATTTCCACTATGCAAATTACAAAAAAAAAAGTTTGAGTATACATTATAATTTATTTATATCCGTGTTTACCCTTGTGTGAGACTGGGTATAATTTGGCATCACCTTACTTTGTTGTTGTTGTTTTATTTGACTTTTTTATTTGGTTTTTCGATATCTTCCTCTTAGTAATTTTGTTTTGTGTTAGTTTTGTCCTGTCCCCTAACCCAATGAGCCTTCTACTAGATATGTGAGCGTAACGGGAAACTGGTAACAGGTTGAAGTGTCTACGTCACGTAATTCATATATTTTAGCTGTCATGGCGGCCATAACTTGATCCAATTTATCTTCTTGTTTATGTTTTGCCCTTAGTGAACTGGGCTTAAACTAGCCATTATGACAACACAAAATCAGTCCCAGAAGAAGGTGAGGCAATGTCAATCCAAGCGTTGTGGTGTGTGGCTTTAGAATAAGTTTATTCTCGTCACTTGCTTAAACAGATCAAAATTTTACAACTTCTTCGCGCGATTCAAGCCGAACAGCTTTCGAAATTGCAGCAAAAGTATCAACTGGAACAAGATCTCCTTGAAGATGTCAGGTGAGTCGAATTCTTGGCCGCTTTTATTGTCCTGTAATTTTCCAGAACAACGTATGTTATTGCCTGTAATAAATTACTTTTGTTTTGGCTAGAACCTACACAAAGCAGAGGTCCATGATCGAGAGAGATTATGCACAGGTAAAAAAGTTATTTGACAGTTCTTGTGTCTTCTTTTAGGAGAAAGAAAAATTTCAACAGACCAGGCGTTTGTAATTCTTGGGCTAATTATTAAAAAAAGTGCAACGAATTAGATAGCTTAAATTAAGCTCAAACGAGACAGTTGTGATTATGGTTTGAGGTCGGCGCGAAGCAACGTACTATCTCCACACAGCCCTCTTCCTTAGCCTGATTTCCTCGTCTTTCCGTGCCGTGTTTTTTTTTTTTTTTGCACAGAACAGTTCGCCATTATTCTTTTTGCAAAAAGAAAAGTTATAAGATAAAAAGTTAGAATTTAATTACGTAAATTATTTCTATTTACACTAAAAAGCATTTATAAGCGTACGGCATGCATGTTATTAAATCCTTTGAAAATCAAAATGAAGGCTTTAGACTGATTGCCTGAGAATTTCGTTCAAGGAATTTTTATTTGGAGACGTTCTTTTTTGCAAATTTGCATTGCAACCCTGGCTGCTTTAATTTATACCACTGGATTCCAAGTTCAGCTTCTTGATTCCCTGAAGTAATTTGTAAAATTTTGAGGCTATTTGCACAAAATTAGTTTTTTTCTTGGCATGCATATAATGTTTTATTTAGAATTTTCTCCCACATCACAAATTTGTGAGTTCACATGGTCAGATTAGCTATCTGCAGCAAATATGTAGTTGCTCTTCCTTCATGGTTATGTTTTGTGCATTTTAGAAATACTTGATATTGTTTGTTAATCTCAGTGAATCATGAAACGAAAATTGTACCAATCAAATTAATTTTAGCATGTGATCTGCCTTATATGAAAGGTGAAAATGAAAACACATGATAGTGTGAATGTTCATTTTCATTTGTTCAGGCAAATTGTATTGTTAGTTCTCTGAGTAGCGTTATAATTAACATTTTTGAGTGTGAAATATTATGAAAAGTACACAATTCTTTTTATATGGTATTATATTATTGATAGCTAATTACCTTGGTAATTACTTCACATACTGCTCAAGTATTACAATATGCTTGATGTGGCATTAAATGGTAGATATTGCAAAAATATATATGGCATCTCAATTATGTTTGAGATAGGTAACAGTAATCTATGACGGCAGCAGGAATAGAGAAATTTTAAACTGAGGGTAGAAAGTAATCTACAGTTGCACTGGTTTTGCTTAACTTCACTCTACAACTGGTCCAGAAAACTTGGACCACTCTCCCAACCAATCAGATGAAAAACTTAAACCAATCATAACTTGGTTGCACACTTTAGGTTTTCCTTTCCTCAGATTAGCTGTTTGGATTACTTTGGTTTTACAACAATTAATCCAAAGTGCTCTTTGGGTGTTTTGAATCTGGTTTCATGAGGCATCTAAAAGCAGTACTGATTCCCTAGAATTTTTAAGAAATTAATAGAAAAGTGATATTTGCAAGAAATGCACTTCATGACATAATATGCAATAGTTTACAGTGGTCAGGATTTTTCACCAGGGATCTGGTCAGAGTTTGAAAATTAAAGACATTCTCATTTTTATACATTCAGCTTGAAACTTGTACACTTTTGATTTGCTGAAAATTCTATTTTTGGAGTTTTTGGAGTCACCAACAGATTACAATTATTCCAGGTCTCAGGTTTTCTGAGTGTTGATGACTCTAACTTTACTAGATCATAAGCATTGGAGTCAAAAGGGACAGTGGTCAATATTCTGTTATCAAATCAGTTGGATTGAGTTTCATGTAATTGTTTGTTTTTGTACCTTTAATTATGACACTGACTCCTGTGTGAATAGAAACTGCTTTTTTGGTCTGTTTCTCTCTCTACATTAGTAGCCTTTGAGTTATAATGGAACCCCAGAAATTTAAGTGTTATAGGGGGTGGGGTTGGAGTGGAGCGGCATATCTGATTCATGCAACCAAAATTCTGATGTCATTCTGGACTGATCTAGCTTGCAGAGGGTATCTGTTTCAACATACTGCTGGTGGTATAATGTCCATTAGAGTAAACTACTAAAGGGTACTTTTCAAAACTGTATTAAAGTCTGTGCAAGTGAAACAGACATAAATGTAACCCAAGTAAGGTAAACCAATTCTCAGAGAAACAAGATTTTTTTGGGTAGAGGAAGGTTTGCCATACTGTTATTTTGATTGCACTATGTCACTACAATATGCATTCAAAGATTTTTGTTCTTCTTTAAATAATTTACCAAATTAGCATTCTCTTCTCTCTTCCCAATAGGCATTACAAAAACTCAATGCCCAATTTCTTCAGAAGAAAGAGCTGACTGCAGAAGATTTAACAGGAGAAAATGGAAACAAGTAAGAAGTTTTAGGTCACTTCTCTATACATTAAAGGTCAGCATTCAAGTCTTGGCCAGAGGCTGGGTAGCGTCTTAGCTATGAAATTAGGCCTGCCTCTCAGCAGCAAATATACCACTATTTGGCTATGAATGGGCAATTGTTAATACTTCCTGATAGAGTTATAAAATTTTACATTGATGGAAAATAACTATTAAGAATATGAAATCCTAAAGAGAGGGATTGTCAACTCAATTTTTTTGCTTTTCTTTAATCAGACTTTCAAATGAGTTAAGAATTATGCTAGAATTATTAAGAATAGACTATTATCAATGTTATGCAGTAAGTGATATAAACAATAAGACTTTAAAGTTAATAATTTGGTCATAATTGTAGAACCCCCCATGGAGTCTGGAAATGTTTGCTTGATGAATCAGAGAAAAAGGCCAAACAACGGCTGGCCATGTCAGAAGAACTTCAGGGGCAGATGGGTGAAAGTATGAAGACTCTTAAGTCAAACAAAGTGCAAGTTTTTAAGAAGGTATTGCTAACAGTATATTTCATTCTACACACATATTAGCAGAAGCAATTTCTTAAACTTAAGAAACAGGACTGGTATAGTTGACAAATTGAAAAAGATGTGCTTTTAGGCGCAATGAGGACAGCATGTTTCAACCTTATCTGTTCAAAACACAGCGGTGCACTTAAGCTTTGTGTGATATTGAAACTAAATACATAATGGTTTGTTTGAGTACTGGTGGGAATTCTTTATACTGGAAGAATTCAGTGGGAAGAATAACATTGCATTTATTTAACCTGGGTCATTGGTAGATTTTATAGAAGAATAAGGCTGTTAGAACAAAGCTCATCAATGATTTAGGAACAGATACTGCATTGATTGTCAGTCACTTGCACTCTACCTTCTAAAAATAGCAATACTCCAACAAAAACAGGCAAGGTTTAAATCTCTTTGTGGAAGTGATTTTCTGCAGTTGACTAATGGGACTCTAGCTTGCTTGACTCAACCTCTAATTGGGGCTTCTTGGCCACTTTTTTGTCATTGTTACTAATAAATTAAATGGCTTAAGTTACTAGAATAGATCTGCACTGAAAAGAGATAAGTGTAGGAAACCACAACGCAAAGCAGAGGAAACCACGAGGCAAAGCGGAGGAAACCATGACGCAAAGCAGAGTGGTTTCCAGCTTATCGAGTGTTCTCCCAACCTCCCAAATGTTTACATCAGGCTATGTAAACATGGAAACTATTTTACATTTCTTTGATAAAATAACTAATGAAAGAGGAACGAAAACCGTGTTTACATACGCTCATGTAAAATGGTTTTATGGCCAATCAGAGCGCGCTTACTATTTGAATTATTTTATAACATCTATTAAAACAATACTGTATAATAGTAAAATGTATGAAAATTTATTTGAATTCATTTTCTTTAGTGTCAAGAACTTACTCAAAAAATTCATGAGGAGCTTTTTGAGACTGTGCGTGAATTATCCAAAGTATGTATTACAAAATGATTATAATCACTTTAAATGATGTGATAATTTTTTTTTTGAATTTATCATTTTCAAGGAGTATTTGAATTATGTTCAACAGAATAGTATAACCATTGATTCATCTTAGGCTAAAAAGGCTTATGAGGAAATGGAAAAGTTGGCCCAGGTAGCACGGGAACAAGCAGCAGATGCAGAAGACAAGTAAGTCATTTAACACTAACTTGTTGGAAGTAGGACCAAGCAGAATCCACCTCGGTCTGTAATCATACAAGTGTTTAAAAAATTGGATGACTGTGAAGTGGGAGTGCAATCTCTCAATAGTGAATAGGATTACAAACTTAAATGGATGACACTCAATCCTGTTGCCAATTGCCTGTAGAACTTAAAAATACAAAATTAATGTAGTTGTTGAAAGAATAGCTTGTAATTCCAATTGTTTAACCCTTGATCTTAACAATCTTTGAAAATATCACAGTGAAAAGCAGTGAAATGTTTGAACACTCTGAGTTATTGCTATGGTTACTGTCAGTCATAAACTCTGTGTTTGTTGGATTTATTTGAATAAACTCAATGTGGTCAGCAGATGTAACGGTTGGATTATAAGTGCCCGATTACAACTCTACAGAATACTTTGTGAAAAAAGAAGCCCACTTAATTATATTTGAGGGAATTGTAACACTGTAACTGTAATAGTCCACTGAGATAGTTAAAAATAATATTACAAGTTGTGAAATATTGCTTGTCAAACGAGAATGATAAATTCAGAATGAAGTCAATTTCTTTGCTTAGTTCAAGGAAAATGTTTAATTAATGTTCATAACTGCAAATTACACTACTATCTTTTCCTTTTTGTTAATATATATTGTGTTGTTGACAAATTGATTTGTTACTGTTGACAGGCTTAAAAAGAAAAATGTGAAGTTTTTCCAGTCCAAGCAATCATTGGAGAAAAATTTAAGCAAGGTATAGTGAAAAGAAGATAATTTCATCTTATCAAACTTAAAATTTTTTTTTGTAACTTGTGTTACTGACAATTGCTATCAATAATGAACACTTATCTAAAATTAGAAATTCAGAAACTTAATATCAATTAATGGACAATGTTTTACATCGTTCTGTGCAACAAACATGACTCTCACTCTTGTTTCACAGAGCTCCAGTCGACGTGAGATATGCGAAAGAAGGACAGCAATGGCTAGAAACGACTACATCCTATCACTTGCTACAGCTAATGCACACATGACAAGATACTTCTGCAAGGATTTACAAGAAATAATGTCTGTAAGTTGATTTCTGTGCTATAGCATCACGAATAAATGCATGCATATTTTGATATTACAAAAGGAATGACCCAAAGATTCAGGGTTATGTTTAGAGGTTCTCAATAATAGAGACTAACCAAACTATTTTTTTTTTGGCCCTGACATTTCTTCAAGGAATAGCATGTTCCATTACATCATTTCATTGATTTTGCAACTGTTTTTATACAGACACTAGAAGGGGATTTGTTTGACCAAATGAGGGGATTCCTCACTACTCTTGGCCAAGTTGAAGTAGATGCAAGTAGGGCTGCAATAACAGGTTTTGAAACTGTGGTCTCTAATGCCAAAACAGTAAGTGGTATAGGTTTTATATGATACATTACATTGCATACTCTTAGGCACCAACAAACCACTTTGATGGTTTGTTCTAACCTGTATCATACATCATCATGCATTAAAATACCAGAAAATTGTTTCATCAGTGTGAATATGGTAGTTGGGTATCACTTGGTATGTGATTGTTGCTTTTATCACCCTTGAGCTTGCTATGTAGTTCTGTTACATCAAATTTCTCGGTAAGACTAAACAGTGTTGCAATGTTTTTGATTAAAATTTCTCATGCAGCATTTTATTAATTTTTTCTGCAAGGTTGTAATTTGGCCATATAGTACCATTAGTTGAATAGAAAAGTTTCTCCACGATGTGTTTAGTTATCAGAGTGATAACTGTGTTCTCTGAGTTCATTCTTTTCATTTCTCTTTTCAAAAGCATAAATAAATAACCACTTTGAAAGTTAGTGCTTTTCATTCAGTGTGTGACTGTATCACTGAAAAAGAAAAAAATGAAAGTTTCATATTCAGTGGCTTTGATAATGGCATTTCTCCTGGCTGAGAACAAAACTTGACAACTGGAAGATTGCCATAGGCCAATTTTAGGCATGTACCTGAGAGATTTCTTCTGTTGGTAAGGACCAATTCAATAACTGAGAATTTTGTTTATTGAAAACTATACCCACTGTTTGTTTTTGTAGTGTTCGAATGCATGTTTTCATCTTGAGCCTCAACGCCAACACACTTTACTATTCTTATTCAGGGATTGTCAATCCTTTTATTTTCATTCATTAATAAAGTTGACTTTTCTTGTCAGTAAAGGGCTATTGTGGTTATATGATAAACAAAATAATACATGTTTGCTTGTAGATATGAAATTTCTCTTTTCATGTTCAACTCAATATCTTACTCGTTCACTGTGCTCACTCTTGAGCTATTGAGTTAAACACTTGAAGAGAAATTCCATATCCACACATGCTCATGTACTATTCTCTAGTTATTATACTTACTTGATATCATAAGCTAATGGACTGGTATTTTATTATTTTTTTTATACCTATTTTTTCTAAACAATAATTTAATGTCTATTTTGTGTTTAATTTTCAGATAAACAGAGATATATCTCTTCAATCATTTTTAACAAAAAACAAAGTATTTTCAGAAGTTGTTCAATATGAATTTGAATCCTGCAAAAATGATAAGGTAACTTTTTGTTTAGTCAAATGAACAGTCTTTTTTTGTTAGGAATTAAGGATGGCATTGACATAATTAATATAATTGTAATTGACACAAACAGTTCAAAAATAGAAAACTGCTTTACCATCTGGCTTAATTACTTGTTTGAGCTCCTTAGCCTCAAATGTATTGTAAGATGCATTCAACATCCCACCATCTGATCATTTTCCAACTAGAGTAATGAGTTAACCCTTTCACTCCTAAGATCTCACTAGTAATCCTCTCTACTGTCTCCCATATGATTCTTATTATGTCAGTTTGAAGAATTTTGTCTCGGATCAACCAATAACTCCCTGATTGATATTTTGCTTTATTTTTTTCACTTTACTGCTTGGTATTGTATGATTGGGTATTTTAAGGAGAAATTCTGTCTTGGTCTCTTATGGCTAGTTCCCTTACTTCTTTTATTTCCTGCACTGTGCTATAGTCTTTGTTACTTCCTTGCTCAAAACATGTGTCTTGGGTTTTATATGACCTGGATAATTCTTTTTTTACCTCTTTTCAGGTAAGACAGCTAACACTTGAAAAAAATGCTGGCCTTGCACTCAACAAAGATGCAAGAAAGTTGGCTATGAGACTAGCAAAGGATCAGATGGCCTTGAAGACAAAGGTCAAGCAACTCCAAGCTGTTAAAAATGTAAGCATGTGATAACCTGACTGGGTATTTAATGCAGTTCTTTCAAACAGTTAAACAGTTAAAAATGCATTTTCCTTCTGTTGCTGATTGATTAAGATAACTGGTTCAAAACAATGAAAAGTAGAAAAAAAACTGGAAAGAATCACAACATAAAAAATTATCTGTTTCCTAACATATTTTATGAAAAAATAATTATTAAAAATTGCACGAGAAAGGTTAAATACCATCAGATACTTTATGAACTAGTTGGCAATGATATATGGTTTGGATATAGTAGATTGAAAAATGAACAGATTGCATTTGGTAGGTAAAGCTTATACCATATATTAATATCACTGAAAAGCATTGAATAACTTCAGTCATTTTATTATATACGTCTTGAGAAAAAGCTTTGTTTCTTACTCCATTTAATGACCCCATGGAGAAATTAAGGAAAGAAGTTACAAAAATGATGGTTGTGATACCTGATTTATTAAACAGGCTGGCTGTCATTTTAATTCATTTTGAAATAGGGTGAAGATGCAACCTTGCAATCTGCGGGAGAAGGAAATCAAGAGGTTGAACAGAGTCCAGAGATGCTGAAGGAGAGTATTAGACTAATTGAGGTGGGTCTTATACTCTCACTATACCTGTTGTAATAATACATACTTCTTACTAACTGAGTTTGAGGTCCACACTGTAAGTTATTAAGTACAAAGTTTTTTTCTGCTTGGATTTGTGGTCCAAGAATGAGGTGTGCAGGCCATAGATCTGGGTGGAAAAATGAGGTTCCATAACTTGCAGTAAGGACCAGGGTTATGTGGGTAATATTTTTTGGGTTTCAAGGGGGTAAAGTTTCAATTGAAACAAACTTTTGTATTTAACTGGGGGTACAGTGGAACACAGTTATTGTTCTGCTAGATTTACCTTGGGCATGGGGCAACTCATGCATGAGGGAGACATTGAGAATTGTTGTGTGAATTGTTACTTTCAAAGTTGAACTGATAACAGTTGAAATGATCTATGAAACAGAGACAACATATGTGGAAAGTGTGTAGCATCAGTGACATCTTGTTTTACATCAACTAAGGAAGCAGTTTCTATTTACTTTTACTTCTTTTTAGACAAGCAAGTTAAAAACAGAGGCATGTTTGGAAGTCTTGCGAGAGGCTGGAGGTACTATTTTTAACAAATTGAATTGATTTCAACAAGATAGTGACTGCCATTAAAAATAGTTAGTTGTTACTACCCATTTTGTAAGCAATCAGTTCAGTATACTTCACAAAATACTATGTCGGCAATGCCTTGGGATATTTAGTCAAGACAGCCTAGAAGAACTTTGGTTTTGGTGGATGAATTTTTTTCAAATGAGCTGAGTAGCAATTGAAGTACTGTTCAATATACGGGCATTGATAAATTCACTGATCTTTTTTTTTTCTGTCAACAGTTAATGTGGATGAATGGATGAAGAGTGCTAATTCATTGTCTCCAAATGACATGGATACTGGTGAGTTTGTCTTCAATTAGTTCTTTGAAATTATTTAAGGCATGCCATCTGCAAGTTTTTCTTAAATCACAGATCATTTTCAAGTTTTCTTTCATTTCAAACTTGACAATATCTGAAGTAATAAAGGATCTAGAAGTAATATTATTTTCTTGCTCTTGTTTTTGGTTCGATGTACTTAATGTATGTGAAAAATCTTCCATAGTAACTGAGGGAGTGTTAACAGCCATTGTTCTTTAACTTTTTGTTCCTTTAGAATATGATGATGATTTGGTTTTTCATGTTTATGTCCTTTATTTCAGATTTTCTTGGAAGTGACAACTCTTTGAACTCATTCAATGATGATTTTGGTGACACATTTGATGATGATTGGGAAGATCTTGACGACAATTTCACAGCAGATGACTCATCAGATGAAGATGCACAAAGTGTCTCATCCAACTGCTCTATCCCACTTTCTTGCATTGCCTTGTACAACTATGAGGTATGCAACTCACACTTTTCTTTACTTTTTTACATGACACCCTTTTTCTTGCAGGATTCACAAACTAATCCTCTTGATTGATGATCATGTATTTCTCTGTAGGGTTTTTTTTGTTAATTTTTATGTTTTTGTCATATCCCTTAATGTAAAATTACAATTACTCAGGATACTGTTTGAAAATTTTTATAAAATAACTGAGATGTTATGTTTGCATTGATTGGTGAAAACCCACAGTTGTTTCCAAAATTTCTCTACATCACTCACTTGCCTCTTCTAACCATGACATCAGAACTGGCTGAGATGTGAGCTCACACTGGGACTCACATTTGCCTTTTTCACATTTCCCCTGACAAGTGTTCAAATTCCTTTTTCTTTCCTGTCAAGTTATCAATAAAGATTTGACTTTATGAAGGGTGTATTTATTGATCTTTTGTTAATGTTGTTGTAGGCAACAGATTCTGATGAACTGTCCATTACAGAGGGAGAGGAACTAGAAATCTTAGAAAAAGATGGTGATGGGTGGTGCAAGGTGACAAATTACTGTTAAGTCAATAACATGGCATCTGACAATGATCAGGAAGCACACTGGCTTAACAGTTATGCAGAGTTGAGAGGTCTAGGTTGAAGACCTGGCCAGGTTTTTGTGCTGTGTTCATAAGCAAGAAACTTCATTCTTGTTTTGCCTTTCTCTGCCCAGGAATATATATCCGTCCATGCAAACTGTCATTATATTTTGAAAGGGTGGGTGGGGGGAAGGGTTAACCTTCAATGGACAAGCATCTCATTGAGGGAGGGTACCTATACTCTCAGTCACTTCTTGCCATGGAGAGCAAGATCACCTCTGGTTCTTCATTGGCCACTTGGCTCCACTGTACACTACTTGTTGATTGGATGTTAATCAAACTGAGGAAAACGTTTTAATTTCTCTTTATGAAATTCTCATGACAGGGTAGAAACAAAACAGGCAAAGTAGGATATTTCCCTGAGTCATATGTTGAAGTTGGATCAACAGCCAATAATTCTGCCAATCAGATCACAGCTGGTAGCTCTCACACAGATGGCCATCATCAACTGGATGGGTCACCATCTAGTGTTTCAAGCCTAGCACAAGCACTGTCTGCCTCAACAGCAAAAAAATATGGTAAGTTTCTTTTTCTTGATGTATTGTCTTCATTGAAAATCTCAAACATTTACTAGCCTGGTAAACATTCCTCTTGACTCTTGCAATTTTTTTAAAGCTTCTGCCTCATAGTAGGGGATTTTATCTATGCCTTCCTATGCCATCTTAACATCTATGGTGATGCCCTTAAAAATATAAGGCCCTCAAAGTGGAAGCTGAATGAGCTGCTATTAAGTCAATGTGTTAATTTAATAATTATTTCAGTCTATTCATGCTGTTCTGTTTTTTCCTATTAACCAAGCTGGTGGGTGATGGAGACTGCCCCAGGTTTCTCCCCAGTCATGTAGTCTGATCATGGTCATGTATTTGTACAACAGAGTGCATTTCATGGCTTTTCTTAAATGGTATTTGGCTTCATCAACAGATTAAATTCATTTAGACAAAATGTTGTTTTATTTGTTCTGAGCTGGCAGTTTCCATCTTTCTCATTACTCTGGAAAAAATTATGCATTTCTAATAAATAAAATCAGTTTTCTAGGTTTGTGATTACTATTATCTCTATGTAACTGAGTATATATTCTAACTTTTTTCTTGAAAGCTTGTTACGTCAGAGCATTATATGATTATGAGGCAATGAGTGACGAGGAGCTATCATTCAAAGAAGGTGATATCATTGGAGTGTTACAGAAAGATGACAACAATGTTGATGATGGATTCTGGTATGGTGAGTTCCAGGGAAGGAAGGGTGTTTTTCCATCCCTTGTGGTGGAAGACTTACCAGATGGATTCCAAACAACAGACACAAACATGAATGTAACAGACTCCTTGCCAACAACTTCATCCAGTAACACTAGAGCTGGAGATTATGTAACATTGCCATTAGAGTACAAGGCTAGTACTGCACCATCTGTGCTAAGTGCATTACAACCTGTGAGAAAAGCCCCACCACCCCCTACTGCTTCTCCGCAAATCCCAAGGAGCACAACTATGGCCACTGGAGGTGGGAGAGCTTTACTACCACCTACTGATCGCCAAAGAGCAAGAACTGAGAATTCTACTTCTATGAAAAAACCAGATACTTCAGCTTTTTCAAAGAGTTTGTCACAGAATCCATCACTTCAGTCAAAACTGTATGAAAATATAAATCAGTTGGCACCTTCCTCATCAAAGCCTCCTGATTATGTCAATGTCACAGATCTTCCATCAGCAAGAAGGAATGGTCCATCCTCATCAGGAAATAGTTCTCTAAGTGCCCCTAAGCCTATGGCCAGATCTCGTCGACCAGCCCCACCCCCAAAGCCTCCTCCACCAACTGCTGCCAGCAGATCTGTACACAGATCACAATCTTATGTTTAAAATTTTTCATCTTGAGAGAGATAAAACTGGCCTCTTCGAGGTTTCCAAAGGAGAAGGCAACTGTTGATCTTAAGATGGTTTTCTGCAGTTATTAAGGACCCTGCTCCAAAAGATTAGTAATTTTTATATTCTTTTATAATGAAATAGCATCTATTAGACCTCTGTCCATAGACAACATCTCAAGAGTTTAAAATAAATCCAACCTGAAACAAAGCATCTAAGATAATTTTGGAATAACAGATGGTTGCTGTCTCGAAAACTCTTTGTTTCTATTGGCTGTTGGCTTTACATCACATATGAAAAACTTTGCATCTGTTCTTTGGAAGAGAGTTCAATTTTTTGCTGAATTAATCAAAGCAAGATTTGTGAGAATTTATAAGTAGTAGTGTGTTGATTTGCATAACTCAGCCCCCATTCCCAAAAAAAAAACATTCTCTGTAATGGAAGGATGTAGTTGATGAAATTTGAACTCATTAATATTATTAATTCAAACAACATGTTTAAAAAAATTGTCAAGTCAAATAATATTTATTGCATAGAACCTTGATTATTCAAATTTAAATTACTTCATCAAACTGGACAGTTGATAATCAAATAACCAGCTCAAAGTTAATTTTCTTTCAAGTTATATTTTTTGTGGGAAATGTTATTGAAATTGTATCCATTCCAGACATGATTCTCCATGCAGCAGTGCAAAGGAGGAGCACCTGCTACATCAATGAGCAATTCTTAGCACAAAATTTTTTTGAACAAAAATTAAGGACTGCACTGTGTGTTTCCTTCTCTATTCTTAACTCTCAGAAAGCATCTATTGAAGGGGCCTGTATAAGGTGCAAAAGGTATAATGAGGACAGTCTTGGTTCACATAACAGGGTTATGTATAGCTCTCACTCGATATTTCCTGTTCATCATCTCTGTATGTAGGGACTTGAAAGATTACAAGTGAACTTTTACTGGTCCTGTTAATTCAAATTCAAATGTTAAACTTGCCTTTATATCTTACTTTTGGCATATTTATTTTCTCATGCTATTAGTTGAATGGTACCAATCAGAACCAGCCTTTCAGGGCAACATTTATTTCCAATGCAATGTGGAAAAGAATTATATATTTTCATTTAAACCAAAATGACATGGATTAGTGAAATAACAGTTGCAATAATTTTAATGATATACTTGTTTTGTTTTTTTTTTTCCCTTTCTTTCTTTTTTCTGGGTAACAATATGTGTAGTAACCGTCATGTGAATCTCCAAAAAAAAATTTTTTATGATAGGAGGCAGTTCTTGATATATTTAAGCACATTTCTACACAAAGTTCAATAGAACTATAGTACACTTAAAATTACTAATTGTAAACTTATATATCATGGATTATTTTCTCACTATTAGCCAATAGTTTTTCACTTATCCAATGTAATTTATACTGGATTTGATTTGTGGGCAAAGGTTACAGAATTTATCAGAATGCTATGGAATATTGTTAGTAAACTTGGGAAAGTATATGAAGTGTATCCTGTGCTAAAAGTTAGTCTTGAAAATCAGCTGGCCTGATTTTATTGCCAGGGTTGCGAGAGATTAGCTATGATGGTGCATGGATATACTGAGAGAACTTTTGACATCAAAATAGTAGTAGGTAGAATATATTAAAGTTCACACAGCAACCAGGTGGACAATCAGACATAGTAGGTAGTTGTTTTTTTTTTATGTAAGAGGCAAGGTGGTAATAGAATGGAAGAGGATTACTACTGAGATAAAATAAGTATTTAAATCATAGCTGCAAACAATGTGATTTTTCATGAAATTCCAGAATCTTAGGTAAATCTTGACATACTACTTGAAAATAGTGAAGTATCATGAACATTTGTCCCATGACAAGCTCCATTACAATGTGGACCATGAGATTTTGACAGAAGACTACTATTTTTCTTTCAGTTTTAAGGTCAACTGATTGTACATCATCCATTGGTATACTAGTTGACCTCTAAATGGAAAGAAGACAAGTAGAATGAAGTTTAACATCATGATCCTCTTTTTACAGTGTAATGGCCTAAATCTTGAGGCAAACCATGGTACTGTACTATTTTTACACTTCATACTTATTGATAACCTCTAATATTTTCTATGATGTTTTGGTAGTTCATATTTCAATAGGAACTCCTCAGATATCAGTAACTGTTTCCCCTAAACTGATTATGGCACAGGCAATCTTTCGCATTATTATTCTTTTTAATCTAGCAGATTGCAAGTGACAGGCAATGTTATATTTCAGTGATAAATTCTTAGCCTTGTTTACAAATAATACAATCACCCATTTTACTCACACACAAGTCTTTTTCTTACAACCTCTTAAAAATCTGTCATTTGAAGTAGTATCTCTACAATATTATTGTGTAATGAACAAACAGGTCCTTGCTTTACTTGCTAAGCAAATGCTCTATAATTAGCGGTATGTCAAATTTACTGTCTCTGTCCAAGGAAGTGATAAATATAAGTTGTAAATTGTGTAAAGCTATCTGGTTATCAAAAACAGTAAACTTGCAATTTGAAAAGTGATAAAGTTATTGCTTTGTGTAACTTTACTTTTTAACTATTACTAACAGTCAAAATTGCACCACACAAGCTTTAGCTCAGAGAGCATAAGCCTCATCACAAGCAGATGCTATTTCACCAATATATCTAGCAAAAAATTGCCAAGAAAGCAGTAGACAGACAGACTGGATTTAACATTTCCCCCAACTTCTACTGAAATCAGTAGTCACGTCAGAAGACATAACCTGACAGTCTAAAGTGAGGTTTGTCATTCATAATCACTCCTAAAGGCATTGGAGTGTGATTGTTCGGGTGCACAGGTCATTAAAACAACAGTCACTGGTGATTGTGACAGCCATTTTAAAGTAGAAATTTACAATACTTCTTCCCTAGAATCTGATGACAACTTTCACTCTGGCTCAATGTTGAACATTTCAGTCATTCGGAGACAAAGGACTTCCCTCCTTGATGTTCACACTGGAAAACATCTTGATAGTCCAAAGGTTAAACCATTTACTGAGTCACTTAAGTTTGGTTGCTGATTCCAGGCTCACATTGTGAAACTATCTCACTTTGAAAAAAAAAGTCTTTTTGTCATCCAATATGAGGAGTCCTTGTAACTGTTTGCTGTCTGTCCACAAAGATCCTGACTCTATTTTCTTCTAAATTGCGAATAACAAAGCTGTTTTCAGGAATGATTTGAATCTGTAAAAAAAAAAAAATTGAATCTAAATGTGAGATTCATGTCAGTGAAATTTTTCAGCTTAAGTACCATTTGAGCCATGGGAAAGATGAATCCTCCAAATATGCCTTGCTCCCAACTTGTGATATCTCAGTTGGTAGCAGTGTCCAGTTAGTATTTGGGAGGCACAGGTTGGAATCCTGTCAAAGCCTGATTTTTTCAAGGTTATTTCCTGAAATTGTTCAACTTGCAACCCACCAACAAAGATAATCTCTTTGCTTATTATCATCCGCAGATCAAATAAATCATACTTCATTATTAAATTGTGATATATTTTTCTTTGTATTTCAACTGCTGGCGAAAGATTTGTATAAACGTGAAGTTACATTAGAAAGCCACGGGTCATCTTGGGGGGAGGGGGGGCACACCTTTTTTCACAGTTAGGAAATGTTTTGGCTTGTTAAAATTTAAAGTTTTTTTTCATTAAATTATGAACATGTATTTACTTTTAGTCCTGGATGCTCCTTGTCAATGATTGTAGTTGCCTCTTCAGCATCCTAAAGAGAGATTTATTTTATTTGGAAACTTTTCTTCTTAATGTATTAATCAGCATTAAAATAATATATTTTTTTAATTTTAATCATTTTTTTTCCAAATTTCAAAACTTAAGACAAAAAATATTTTTATTATAAAATGTAATCAGGGAGGTATGTGTAATTTAAGAGAAAAGAAAAACAGAAACTTTTGTCAGAACTTATATCAATAATTTACAGCCATTTTACCACACTTGAACATACGCTCACAGATCAAAGTTCATCTTAATGATATTTCGACGTCACGATACCGAAAGCAGCTTGCGTTTACATTCATCAAAATGAGATAGAAAAAGAATTTAAGGATTTTCGAGCCACCTCTTTAAACGGGAATCAGAATTAAACTTGGAGTATCAGTTGATTGTTTAAATTTACCCAACATCGATATTGAATGCACCGACTGTATTATTTTCTCGCCGCGTGCCTGATGCTCATGCTGCCACCATGCATGTTTCATCGTCAATCATTAAGTTATCTTTATCATAGAGAGGCTACGACAACACTACTTGATTCACCGGGAAATTTGAACTAAAAAATTAAACGTTTCTGCTATTTGAAACACTATCTCCTCACCACAAAATGATACAACCAAGCAAAGCTTTTATCTATGCTCGTTTTCACGCAGTGCATTTCTAGCCAAACTTTTGGTTCCCATGTCACCAGTTGAAAAAAATTCAAAATTAAAGTATGTTACCTTTCCAACAAGTTCTGGCCATTCTTTCTTAGGAATTCTTTGTTTTTGCTTCCATCTGAATAATTTATTTTTAAGAAAGGACATTTCAGGCTCGAATTTTTGTACGAAGTCATTCGCATAAAATCGATGTAAACAAACACAGAGGCTGGTCTCATCCTGATAACGAGGCCCCTTTTGGCGGGAAAGGGAACACGTCCTTACACCTCCCCCGTTTCATTTTCCGAGAACCTGAAACTATTTCGCATCAAAAATTATTTCAGTTTCCGGTAGTGCTGATTACAGCTTGGTTCATTCCTGATGGACAGTTTTAAGCTTTCGGCTATCCAGAATCTCAGAAAAATCAAGTGTTTCAGGTACGACAAACTTTACATGGATGTACGCTAACGTTTTGTCTCAAATTGTAGCAACGTAATTTACGATTGTTGTTTCATGAAGATTAGCGGACATCGATCCATCCTCTACATTTTATGATTACTGTTCTAGTGACAATATTGTACGTGTAAAAGGGTGAAGCGATTTTAAATGCTACGGAAAATCTTGAAATGAGCTTCAATATTATTCTAAACAAACAATGGAAATACCCAATAAATACAGTGCAAAACAATGTTTGTTTGTTCCTTTTATGAGAAAAGAAAATTGAAGAAGGAAACCCAAATTTGCGATTTTTCATGTTTAAAAATTAACATATTACTCAGACATTGACATGAGTTTGATACTAAATTAGAAACCCCCTACCCCTCCCCTGGATCGTTCAATATTACCCGCAGATAAGCGGAATCTAGTTTCAAGGTTTGCTGGATATGTTTGCTCTTGCTCCTCTAAAGATGGGTCACCTAGTTAGCTTCGGTTTTTGTTGATGTAAACTCATGGAGAACCAGATTTTCACAGCAAGTTATCATCGTTATGGTAGCCAAGAGCAGCTGGTTACAGAAATGAACGACAATGATGAAGAAGATGACGATTTTGACGAAGAGGAAGATGATGAGGATCTTGAAGACGGCGAGGATATCGATCTGAGAGAACATGCGTACGACTTTGTTCAAGTCGCTGCGTCTCCCAAGCATATTCACTTCGTTACCGACGCTTCTCTCAGCTCGTGGAGTGATCCAGAGGCGGCATTGGAAACGAGCACTCGTTTAGGGTAAATATTTAAGTTTTCAGATGTAACACTTCATGAAAGTCACAAGTATCACAACCAATGGTAATTATTCAGAATTATTTGTGGTGAATCTGTTCTCAGTTGTCTCGAATTGTTTCTTAAACTTAGGCGCGTGGACAATCTAGACATGCAGTTACCATAACCATCAAATCTCAAAATACAGAAACAATCGAGATTAAACAAATGAAAGTCTACGATGCGATTTATTAGTCTTTAAAACGTAAGTTGTTCGGATTAATGCAGTGATACACTTGCGCTCTGTTCATTTCCTTATCGATAATTTACATAATGAGTGACCTGCAAAGTGAACTTTGATGAGCTGGCTTGAAATAATTTTGCATCACGACGGTTAGATATCTTCAAATTAAAACTGTCATAAGCCTCAACCTTTGCGTAAGGTTACTTAATTTTGAGAATTACTAATTGACGTTTCGTCCCAGAATATAAAATTACTCATTTGGAAAATAACTTTTTTTTGCGTTTCATTGGACATTGCTTTCTGCTTTGTGATAAATATTATTTATTTATTACAATCACAATGGCAATTGACAAAATAAAGTAATTACCTATAACAAAGGAAATGCCATAAGGATGGTCTGTAAAAGAGTCCAAGACCCCATCCTCAGACAGACCACCCAACTAAATATATAGTTTAAAAATATAATTAATATAATCAATTAAAATCTGTAATAAAAATTCTAAAATATGTGTCTATGAGTTATTCATTAAGAAGTTCCTCACGCCACATTTAAAACTCGAGATACTAGACACTGATCTAATTGGAAATAGGAGTGAATTGCACATATCAACAAAACAATTTAAAAAACCAAACTTGAAAATATTAGTACAGGCATAATTTTTCTTTAAAGTAAGTCCCATCTTTCTTTCACAAAGGGTACCTAGCAGTATCAGAGTAAAATTGTACAACTGAAGAGATGTCAATATCAACATAACTATTCAAAACTTATCTACTCTCATACCGCTTCTATCTGTGTAATAGGTGGTGCTACAGCTTTTTTTGTTTAAATTATTGATTGGGTTCCATTGACTGATCTACTGGAAAAGACTAGTGCTCAGCTTGAGCCATTGTCTGAGCATAATTTGGAGGGAAACCTTGATCTAGTTGTCGCAATTAATGAAGGATTTTTATTTTAAAAAAAGTTTTATTGAGAACCACATTTTTCCAGTATATGGAGAAAAATTTTATCACTCTTAAATATTTTACTGCAAGGTAGTTGTTCCAAAAAAAAAGGAAAAAAAGATTGCTGTGAGTGATCTACTTGTGACAGTTATGCAAACAATTTGTCCCAGTTCAATTTTTACATAAATTTGTAAAGATCAGAATGAACAGACTGACTTAGAATAGCTGAAAGTATTTTGCAGGCTTAAACTTTGTTTACAGAACAAAAAGTAAGCTCTACATGAAGTGTCTCATCTAAAGTGTACCTTACATTGTGTGACTTCTCATTTAAGATGTATCTGCTAGCATTAGCTGTGGTCACACCACAGACTTTTACTATGGAGAAATAGATTAACCAGGGAAAATTACGCAAATTTGCTCATGGTAAAATTTATCTTGGGTTTCAGTTTCCAAAGATGAAAGGTTACATCAGCCTTTGCCACCAGTCTTATCTGCGGGTTTTTATGGTAGTTTCAAAACATGACATCTAAGCCACATCTCTCAGCAACATACCCATGGACATGTGCTGATTGGTACATTTGCATGGGATTTCAAGTTTCCCATTCTGTTGCTCAAGGATAACTGTCATGGAAAAACGTTTTGTTCTCCTGACTTATCCCAGCCCCATGAGCAAAAATTTCCCAAAGGTAATTTCCCATGGTGAAAATCGGTCTCACCAGCAAATTTAAGTTACCATGGGTGGACTGACTCAGCAGTATATCTGTAAGGAGAAGTCAAATGCTGGTCACTCTTAGGGTTTAAAGGGTCAATGCTTAATTTCTTGTTATTATTTTTTCACTGCTTACTGATTGTTCTCTCCTCCTATTACAGGAAATTCCGAGGGTCCCTTAGAAGAATTGTGGAGCATTTTTCTGTTAGGTTGGTAATAAAGTGTGAAACAGAAAATTACCACACAAAACCAGTGCTTTTTTTATTCTCATTTAAGCCAATAGTTTTGGTTGAAGGATGAATGATTTCTTGTTTTTCTCACCTTTTAGAGTTACTTTTATTTATTGTTAATGCAACCTCTTTCTTTTCAAACTTTTTGTTTTTTTAATTGTTTTTTATTTCATTTCCATGTTTTGTTAATTTTGATTTGATTTTGTCTGGTAGAGTATTCAGTCTCCTTTTGGTATTAGCAGATATTATTATTGTCATAGTTGACTTGGCCACTGCAGGAAAAGATGAAAGGGTAAATTATAATTGTAATATTTATGTTTTGTATAAGAAAACTTAGAACTTTGAAGGTAAAATTTGGCAGTGAAGTATTAAAAAATAAACTTTTCTTTCAAGAAGTATATTTCAACACCATTTTTTGGCACTCCATATGATCTTAGTTCTGTAATAGTTAATAATACTGATATTGGAGAGCTCACTCATTCCACCACAACTATAACCTAGTATTTAACCCAGTAACTCCAGCATGTGACCAATACAGAATTTCTCTTTTTAAAATCAATACAATGTCAAGCAGACAAAAGGTGAGAATGAATAAAAATATAAATTGATCTAAAACCAAATTCTCCAAACTAACATCATAAGAATTGCATAATAGACAGTAAGGAGAATTACCAATGAGAATGTGAGAGTGAAAGGGTGAAAAGTTAACCTAATCATGAGGCACCTGGAACATTGGGTTGAAAAGGAGTCTCCCAGAACTACAAGTTATTTGAATTCATTTAGGGTAGCAGGGCTTCTTGTCTTCTGCTGCTGTGACCCAGTGTGTCACATGTGGATTGAATTTTTGGTTGGTTCTTATCCTTTCTCCAAAGGTTTTTCTCCAGGTCCTCTGGATTTCCTCCCTGTGCAAAAACCAACATTCTAAATTCAATTCAACTAAATTCAGTGCAACAAGAAGAGCCA